TCTAACTTTAGCAGCTATATAGCTGGATAACTCAGTGGTTTAGGTCTCTGGCTGCGGAGCCAGAGGTCGGAGGTTCAATTCCCCCACTCGGCCTCCTGGGAGAAAAGCCAGCCTGGGTGGCCTTGGGCCAGCTGCACAACAGCCCCAGGGCTCCCTCTAGAGGAAGGGAATGGGAAAACCACTTCTGAATATTGTCTACCTGGAAAACCCTGAAAATGGTCACCTTAATTCCGAATTGAATGGATGGCACATTTTTTTATTATTATTATTAAGAGGAGCACAGTTCCCATCATTCCATAAGCAGCACGTCCAGTTCAGAGATAGCCTATCTAGTTCTTTAACTTGGTGCATCAAAAGTAACTGTGGAAAACATAGTGTTTGTAACTGAGACAATCCTCGTAGGATGACTACGAGTCCCAGAACTCTTGGGCATGAAGAATCGATCACTCGAGGTATGAACTATCCAGTGATTTAAGCTGAGATTTAGCGGTATCTATACAAAAATCCACATCTAGCTCTTGCTGTTTCAGACATTTTTCATGATGAATAGGTAAACATGCATACAAACAAGCAACCGTTAAGTTTTGTTTGTTAAAATGTTCTCCAAGGGTCTGTCGTGTTGAACTGGGGGAAAAAAAAGAAGTGATTAGGTTGAAATCGGAGGTCGGGCAAATAGGGAGGTGAAATTGATTTTGTTTTCTTAAAAAAAATATTTTAACTCAATTTTCTTCATTCTCAAATATGCAATTTGGAAATGAACTGGAACACAATGGTTTCCCATTGGCATTGGAGCCACTGAGATAAGCACAGCTCTGTCTGCCTTCCACGTAGGTGTTAAAGATCGGGAGCCTGCAAGGAAAATAAAAGTAAGTGGAAATTTGAATCCATTTCTACCAGGGATAAGGTCAAGGCAAAGGTTCCCCTTGACATTTAGTCCAATCATGTCCAACTCTAGGGCATGGTGCTCATCCCCATCTCCAAGCCATAGAGCCAGCGTTTGTCTGAAGACAGTCCCCGTGGTCACGTGGCCAGCGCGACTAGACACAGAACACTGTTACCTTCCCACAGAGGTGGTCCCTGTTTATCGACTCACATTTTTAAATACTTTCGAACGGCTAGGTTGGCGGGAGCTGGGACGAGCGACGGGAGCTCCCTCCATCATGTGGATTCGATCTTACGACAGCTGGTCTTCCGACCTTGCAGCACAGAGGCTTCTGCGGTTTAACCATGGCACCACCAGGGATACAAACACCCTAATTCAATACTAAGATGGAGGTTCGAACAGCTAGGTTGGCGGGAGCTGGGACGAGCGATGGGAGCTCCCTCCGTCGTGTGGATTCGATCTTATGACAGCTGGTCTTCCGACCTTGCAGCACAGAGGCTTCTGCGGTTTAACCCGCAGCGCCACCAGGGATACAAACATCCTAATTCAATACTAAGATGGAGGAGTATCCAAGAAAAAAAATGGGGGGGAAATAGCGGTGAAGAACCTGAGAGACACATTTACATGGAGTAGAGTACCATGACAGAGAGCTGTCAGAAAAGGTACAATGATGCACTACCTTTGGTGAGAGAAGCAGATATGTACCTCACTGTCAACCAACATGCTGACAACACAGGTATTAAGCATAAGAACTATCATGACTACACTGGAGAAGTTCTTTAAGTGATGGCGAAGGGGTCCCCCAAAGGAAAAGACAATGAACCCTATAACCCTCGGTTCTTCTGGGGTGCAGGATCCCACCTTTCCTAAGGAAGGAGGTTCAAATTCAGAGGAGACTCCGAGGCCTCCCTACCAACCACAGGAAAGGAAGAGAAGAAAGATCATCTGATGGGATCCTTTCAAGACATCTTCCAACTCCTCGGATATCACGATACTCTGATTCTATTTCTGCCGCAATTTTAATTCACGATCAATGCCACAGTCCTAGTCTCTCTCTCTCTCTCGCATGGTGTTCAAACCCAAACTTTCATGAATATGGTCTCCCTGCCCCCACAAAAAAGTGCTGTAATTTGAAAAAATGTCCCGCAGCTCTCATACATCTCATGTGCAAGGGAGAAAACTTTTCAAAGAAGCCAAGGTTTACAACTCCAAGACAAATCTTTAGAAACCTCGATCTTCTTATCCCTTCCACTGGAGGGTGTGAGGACATCGGCAAAAAGTGCCAGAAACGCTACGGGACTGAAACTGGCTGATATGCATTTTTTGGTCCATTGACCACGACACAACTGGAATTGCAAATCACCCTCCCTCTGACCAGTATTCCGTAGGTTTTCCCCTCTCACTTCAACTTATAGGCCTGGAGCACTCTCTGGGGGGTGGGTGGGTGAACGACATAATTATGCAGACCACGCTTTGTCCCCCAGCAAGTTGGGTACTCATTTTACTGACCTTGGAAGGATGGAAGGCTGAGTCCACCTTGAGCCAATGACCAGCTGAGCCCATTAAGATCAAACCTAGGTCTTGAGCTGATTTTTCATTGTCGTGCTGTGGTTTTTGTAACCACTGTGGCAGGAGGCTCCACCCCACGCCATCTGCTTTTTTGTTTTTTAAAAAGGACCCATTTGCGTTGGTTCAGGTGATTTGGTGGCTGGTGGCGGGGGGGGCTGTTATCCAACCTGGGAGGCATGAATCGGTGCAAATAATCACTTTTAAAGCACCTTGTATACCGGACAGGGTACTCCAGCAAGAATGTATGTATGTATATATCAAGTAAAGATGTATCAAACTTTGCAAATTGTCCTGGGGGGGGGAAACCCTCGTCCAGGCTTTTTCATCAACAGTAGCATTAGCAAAAACTCTTTACAGTTGTGACACAATTTATTTATTTCCTAATGGGTCGGAGACCACAAAATAAAGATCAATTGAATTTATTTACTGTATTTCTTTTTTGGGGGGGGGGGGGGAAGCCCTCGTCCAGGCTTTTTCATCAACAAAAACTTTCATTAGCAAAAACTCTTACAGTTGTAACACAATTTCTTTCTTTCTTAATGGGTCGGAGACCACCAAATAAAGATCAATTGAATTTCTTTCTTTCTTTTTTGGGCGGCTGGCCTCTTGAATATAGCATCCCATCTCGGAATCTGGATTTTGACCTTTACAAACTAGAGGGATGTAACCCATTAATTTTCTAACACTGTACTGAATGGGAGCGATGAATTATTTGTTAAACACTGTACCAGCATGAACAAATTGCTTTTTAAAAATAGGTTCCCAAAGTCTGAAGTGTTGTCTCTCTGCATGTGTGTGTTTCCCCTTGCTTGCAGTTAAGAAATAAGCCTCTTTTTTTTCTGACCTTTACAAACTAGAGGGATGTAACCCATTAATTTTCTAACACTGTACTGAATGGGAGCGATGAATTATTTGTTAAACACTGTACCAGCATGAACAAATTGCTTTTTAAAAATAGGTTCCCAAAGTCTGAAGTGTTGTCTCTCTGCATGTGTGTGTTTCCCCTTGCTTGCAGTTAAGAAATAAGCCTCTTTTTTTTCGGAAATTGTGTGTGTGTGTGTGTGTGTGTGTTTCCCCTTGCTCACAGTTAAGAAATAAGCCTCTCTTTTTTGGAAATTGTTCCCCATGAATTCAAATCAACCCCCTCACATGAATAGCAAGGAAACCTTTACATATAGATGCATGAAGGTACCATGTGCTTAAGAAATTTGCATGCTCACAGTTTCTGAACTGCATGGTCTACAGAAATCTGGGCTCCCTATTCTGTTGCCAGAATGAAGTGCTAGTTGCAGGTGCTGGGAAAAAGTAACTTTTTCTTAACTTCAGCTCCCAAAATCCTCTGATGACAGCCAACACCAGACTGACTGAGGGTCCTGGGAGATGCAGTCAAAAAAAAGAGAGACCCTCTCAATTTCCCTGATCCTGGTTTGTCAGCTCAATGGCTCAACTCCTGTTCAGTTCATGTAGTAAGCTGTAACTAGAGAAGACCCACTGAATCAATGGGGGTTGAAGGAGTCAACTCCTGCATATGTTCTGTTGAGTCAAATGGGCCTACTTTAGTTGTGAATCACTGAAGTCCATTGCAGTTAGAATAGGGTTGTTTGCACTCAATGGAACTTACAGAAGAGTTGACTCGCCAAGTCCCCCTTGATTCAATGGGCCTCCTCTAGTGTGACTTACTATGCTGAGCAACAGGATTTCAAGCCAGTGTGTTTGATAGTCGAGGAAGACTCCAGTGACAAATACTTTAAAAATCCTGTCCAGTTTGCCCTCAATGAATCTTGTTTGACCCCTAAATTAGAACGGAGCCCAGTTTGATGCACCAGGCATGGAAAAAATGAAACAAGCCATGGAAAGGGAGCTGGCCATCTGCCATGATTTGTTTCCAATAATCAGAATATGCCTTCAACAGTTCCCGTTTCCTGTCAACTCAACCGTGTCACATAAACAGGAAGGCAAACCCAGTCATGCTGACCATGACAGCCGCTTCATCTTATCACGACAAGGGTGATAGCGTGACAGAGTAAGACCTAGGCCAGAGACCGGAATATATAAAAAACAACAACCAACTCCAAGATCTGCCCCTGAGGCTTGCGGGGAGGGAGGATTCTGATCCAGTGGATCAAAGCAAGTACAGTATTTTTCCATGTATAAGACTATACTTTTGTCTAAAATCTTTAGACTAAAAATTGAGGGCCGTCTTATACACGGAAGTAAGCTGAGGAGAGAACAAAAACAAGTGGAGGGGAAAGCAGGGATCAAAGCGATCCTGCAGTGCTTTGATCCCTTTCCCCCTACACTTGCTCAGCCCCACTTATTTTTCTTAAGTTTGGATTAGAAAAGTGGGGGGGCAGTTTATACATGGGGGCATCTTATACACGAAAAAAATACGGTAACTTTTTCAAGCTTGAGGTTGAAGAGCCTCTCTCCCACTAGTATGTTATTTCAACCGGTGTAGTGTCTGAAGAGGGCTATACCACTGGATTAAGGGGGTGGAGAAATCTGGAACCAGGAAAAGAAATCTCAATGAACTCACACCCAGCCATTCTTTTCCTTCAATCGCTATAATCAAAAATTGCAATATACAAAATATATAAATTAAACTACTATTTCTTTTTTCTTTTTTTTTACACAAGGCACATTTGTGGCTTTTTCAGAAGTCCGTGGATCCCTCCATCATCCTTGGCCCTTGTCATAAAGTGTAGGGTGTGAGTGACCCATGATTGTCGTGACAACTCAGGATTTCTTTCTTGGTCTGCCCGGTCTGTCTGTGGTACTGTCCTTCTCGGATGGTTTTAAGACACTTGACGTTCTTGCCTAAAGTGATGCTTTTGATGGAAGGCAAGAACGTCAACATCGCTTTCGAAAGGGACGTCCCAACACCTGTGCCAGACAGGTTGAGTTCCTGCAAAGACCCGAGGCCATAAAAAACTTCGGCACTCAATGACTTGATGTTGGGATTGTTAGAGAAATCCAGCCCTTGGAGAGCAGGCAAGTCTTTGAAGGCATAGGGCAAAATCTCGGAGAGTTCATACATATTGCTCAGCGACAAATGGATTAAATCCTTCAGCCCTGAGAATGCCTCCTTCTCAATGACTGAGACTGGGTTTCCGTCAAGGTTTAAGTACCGCAGGGGGATTCCGCGAAGGTGTGGGATATTTCTTAATCTGTTTCCAGACAGATTCAAGCTTTGAATGTTAGGAATGGCTTTGTCCTGTTGTACTGAAACAAGGCTTATGAGGTTACTGGAGAGATCAACATTCAGCGGTTTCCTTTGACCTCTGGAGGAAAAGGCATCCATCTTGATTTCTAGAAGGAGGTTGTTGCTTAAGTCAATGTCCCCCAGGGGTGACCTGGAGAAGACTTCGTCAGGAAGGGCAACCAAAGAGTTATGACTCAGATCCAAAGATTCAAGATACCTGAGTCTGGAGAAAGTGGCCGAAACAATCTTTGAGATTTTATTGTAGCTCAAGTCAAGGCTCACCAGCGTGGTATAGCCAGGGCCAGTCAGCAGGGACTCGTTCAGGGACTCGAGGTGGTTTGACGATAGATCCAGATAAGTCGTATCCAGGGGAATGGGGACAGGGACGATATGGGGCCCTATACCGCTGCAATCCACCTTGGTTAGACTGAAGCTGTCGAAGAGACCAAAGCTCTCCACCTCACAGTGGCATCCTGGGAAACAGGTCTTGGAAGCCGCAATGGTGGGGAAAAGCAGGAGCAGGTTGAACCACACGGTGGAAGACATGGTTGGGATCTGAAAAATAAAAACAGGGATGGAAAGACAAGGATCAGTTGGAGGTAGCCAAGTCAGTAAAGGATGCTGGGTTGTGGGAATACACATTTTGAGGAGACGCCTTCCTTAAAACATAAATGAAAGTGGATATCTGAACCATCACTATTTATTTGATTCCCTACTGTGCCTCCTTGACAAGGATGGGACTTGATGATCTATAGGGTCCCTTTCAGCTCAGCCATTCTAAGATTATTATTGACAACTGTGGTGGTTTGGATATCTGGTTATGGAGCCTGAGGCTGGTTGGGAGTTGGGATCTTCTCCCCTGCTGTCAGGTCAAGCTGGCCAAAAATCAAGCGACTGGAAAATCTCATGGTGAAACCATCGTTTCCAGCATTTATACAGGCAAGACAATCTATAATATTGTTCTCAGGGCAGCTGACGGGCATAAAATATCAAAATACAACATCAGAAAAGGGACTGTGCCATATTGTCATTTCCAGGGGTGGGGAACACACCTTTGTAGTGTGATTGGAAAACCAATAGTTCAAAAGAGTGACATTCCAATTGGGACATTTTTTTAAAAAAATTTTCATCAGCTACTGTAATAATCATTAAAAAAGCACCAGGTCAGCCTTTCTAGGATGTGGTGGAAGCCCATGTGGTGCAATAGTCAGTGTCGGGCCGGAACATGAGAGAGTTCAAATCCCCACACAGCTATGAAGCTCAATGAATGACAATGGATTACAACTGGATGGCCATCGACTAAGGTCTCTGGCTGCAGAGCCAGAAGGCGGGAGTTCAATTTCTCACTGTGTCTCCTTAATTCAACGATCCATGATAATGATGACTATCCTCTTTGGATGACCAACCTTGCAGGACTGTTGTGAAGGTAAAATGGGAAGGAAGAGATAGCGTTTGGAGTGCCAGATTGGAAAATTAATGTATTACCATTAAATATGAAAAAATTGGGAGATTAAAAGAACACAGCATGTGGATTGTCATCACTGACTTTTAGCTGCTGGGTGCTTTAAAAGTGCTCCCTTAGTTGTTCTAAAATTGCCACCTCCAACCCAACACTTTATTCCAGGAGGACTATGAATTCCACAACACAACTGACAGCTGTGAAGTCTAAGATCACAGACAGTTCAGTTAAAAACTCCTTTTCTAATGTTAAACCCATTGGGGGAGGGGGGTAAACAACAACAACCTTAACTATAGCAACCGGTACTGCAAGTTTTTTTAAAATTAAAAATTAGTCTCATACCCACTTAGCCCCCCACTCAGGCTGCTGACAAATCTGAAGAATTTTCTTTTGCCTCACCGATACCATGCAGCTCTGATACAAAGCAACTAATTTCTTAGACGACTTTTAAGTACATTTCTTTAGCAAAACACTATCCAAACTATAAAGTCACCTCAAGTAAAAGCTCCTTAGCTTGTCAGGCTTACGCATGGCTATAGAGATAAATGTAACCCACACTCACTACCTCCATCAGAGATTCACTCCTCTAGGCACTATCAACTTCTGTCTCCCATACATAATTTAGCTAGAGAAATGCTATTAGAAGTTTGCATTTGAAGCAAAACCAGCCTCTAACCTCAAGTGGAGGATTATACTGGGATAATTAGCACACACTCTCTATGAACAACTATTGCCGCTGAAATTTGCAAATAAAAGTAAAGATAAAATACAGTTATTCTAAAAGCTTATCAGTCTTCAAAAATGCCACAGAACTCTACTCTCGCTATAATTTCTAATGCAATACAACATTTGCCTCTTTGGCCACTAGCAGTGGAACTCATTGGAGGAAACCAGGGATAAAGTAGGTATGGAAGGGAATCGTTCGGTGATTTAGGTATCTGGCTGCAAACCCACAGTTTGGGAGTTTTATTCCCCACTGTCCTTCCTTAACAGAGGCTGGACTAAATGAGCCATAGGATCCCTTCCAGCTATTCAGTTCTAAGTTTAAGAGAACTGCTGAATCGCTCGGTGGTTTAGGTCTCTGGCAGCCGGGCCAGAGAGTGGGAGTTCAATTCTTCACTATTCCTCCAAGAAGAACGGCCAGTCTGTGTGGCCTTGGGCAAGCTGCACAGACCCAGGGCACCCCCCAGAAGAAGGAAATGATCAACCACGCCAGAGTACTCTCTACCTGGAAAACACTAGAAGATGTCATCATAGGTTGGAGTTGAGTTGAGGGCACATGACTTTATTCTTCTTATTAACAGGAGTACAGCTCCCATCATTATGCAACCAGCACCACCAGTTTAGAGATACAGTCGTGTCCCGCTTTACGATTACCCCGTTTAACGACGAATCCGCTTGATGGTAAGGTTTTTGCGATCACTTTTGCGATCACAAAACGATGGTTTGAATGGGGTTTTTCCGCTTTGTGATGATCAGTTCCCTGCTTCGGGAACCGATTTTTGCTTTATGATGATCAGCAAACAGCTGATTGTCCGGTTTCAAAATGGCCACCGGCTGAAGAAAATGCCCCCCCCGCTGTGCTTAGGGACGGATTCCTCACTGCACAAGCATGGAAAATGGCCGCCCCTATGGAGGATCTTCGCTGGACAGTGAGTTTTCAGCCCATTGGAACACATCGAGTGGTTTTCAATGCATTTCAATGGGCTTTTTAATTTTGCTTTACGACGTTTTCGCTCTACAGTGATTGCGCTGGAACGAATTAACGTCGTCAAGTGAGGCACCACTGTAACCTGTGTAGTTATTTACCTTGGGCCATCAAAAGTATCTGTGGAAAAGTTAGCGTTTGTCACTGAGACAATTTAGGCAGGATGGTCCAGAGGATCCCTTTCCAGCTCTGCAGTTGAAAGATAAAGAGAACTGCTGGATAGCTCAGTGGTTCAGGCATCTGGCTGCAGAGCCAGAGGTGGGGAGTTCAATTCCCGCCTGGGGCTACTTGATAGGGGGATAATGATCCAGAGGGTCCCTTCCAGCTCCGCAGTTCTAAGGTTCTAAAAATGTAACAAGTCAACTCAATCAATCAAATTTCACAATGAGGGTGCCAGAAACCCCCTCTATGGTAGCTACTCTGCTTACTTCGCTTGGTACGGACCCTAGACACCGAAAATGGGGGCCAAGGAAATCTCAGTCTGGGCTGTTCACTGCTCCAAAACAAAGTTTGGAAAAGTCCTTTATTTGGTGGGAGCGGATACTGAAATTCTAAGAACCTTCCAGCCATTGGGAGTTACTGGCTGCTTTTGTCAGAAAAGAAGCTTTCCCCAAGCTCAGTCCGGAACACAACAGACAGGTACGGCCCCCATCCTGTCACTCAACTATACATAATGCATACCCAGGCATAGTTAGTTTGGGCAGGAGAAACGCTTTAGATTTTTCCACCTGATAGTTTTCAGTGCACAGTTTTGGCATTCAAAACTGGTGCCAGAGAACTTTTGACAGGATCGAAAATGGAGTAGCTCCTGACAAGGCAAAAGCATATATTCTCCAAAATGGAAACACTGACTAGTACACATTCTTTAGCGCTGGATACTAACCGAATTTTAGCAGCCCCACCCAAAGTTTTCTCCAGTTTTCAATTGTTTAAGAGAACTGTTTTTGCCTCCAGGTGTTTTCCTCAGTAGCTTCTGTAAAAACACTGTGAGGGATTCGCCTTGGGGAAAGAAGACTGAGGGAAGATAGGATAAAACTTTTCAAATAACAGAAAGGCTGTGTCATACAGAGAAGGGGCAGGATTTCTTCTCGGATACTCCCAGAGTGCAGGACACACCACAGTGGGGTCAAATTACAAGAAGCCAGATTTCGGCTGAATATCAGGAAAAAACTTCCTAACTGTTAGAGCAGTACAACAGTGGAACCAGTGACTTTGGGAGTTGGTGAGTACTCCAACCCTGGAGGCCTTCAAGAGAAACTTAGATCATCCCCTGGCAGATATGCTTTGATTGTATTCCTCCATTGAGCAGGGGGGTGGACTTGATGGCCTTGTAGGCCCCATCCAACTCCACTTTTCTATGATTCCATGATTCTGTGATTGCCCCCCAAGCCATGAAACTCAATAGATGATCCTGGACCATCAACTCAATAGAGAACCCTCTTTCTCAGCTGGGACTAGTCATAGGGTTGTTAGGCATATAACACAGGGAAGCACAGATCCATATATATGACCTCAAACCCATTGAAATAACTAGATCTTATTATAATATCATAATTTATCCATATAAATTATGGATGTGCTTGGGATTCAGAAATTTATTTGGAAAAATAAGCAGAGTGGAGGATTTTCTGCGTTTTCCAAACTTATCCAAAGCAAAGCGAGCATGCCTGAAGCAATACTTAAATTGAACCGGAGCTGTCAAAAGCATTGAGATTTGCTTCAAATATTAAAAATCCAGAGCAGCAGCTTTTGTTTCAAAGGATCCCAGATTGACTGACAGTTAGGAAAGAGTCTCCAGTTTATGCAGAATGGGGGTTGATGGCATTAAAATATTTTAAAATATTGACATGCAAATAGAATCAGAGGGCTGCATATTGACTCATATAGAATTGGTTGTTACAATTTGCAACAAAAATAATTTGGGCCAAATCAAAACAG